ATCCAATAGAATTTTCCATGATAATGGAAATATTATATATCTGTGCTAATATGATAGCCAGTAGTCACCTTTGAAATATGGCTAGTGTGACAAAGGAACTGAATTTTAAATTTTAGATGCTTTAAATTAATTTAAAATTAAAAAGCTACATGTGGCTAGTGGCTCAGTATTGGACAGTATAGCTTGGTTATGGGGGATTATCAGTGCCTCTAGAGCAGTTGCTGGCATCATTGCCCACCTTCCACTCTCTATTTGTGCTCCTGTTTACTTTTTTGGTCTCTGAGGACATCCCTTAGTTGCTTGTGAGCTTTGCTATGCATTCAAAAGGATAATTCTTATATTTTTATCAAGCATTTTTAGGTGTCATGTAGCAAAAGGGTTCTCAAGCCGTTTGGACACAAGAATTGCAGAAAGGGAAGTCTCTTACAGCTTTATTTTATTAGTTAGTGAAGTACTTATCTTTTTTTTTTTTTAAAGAAGATGTTGGGGGTAGGAGTTAATTTATTTATTTATTTTTGCTGTGTTGGGTCTTCATTTCTGTGCGAGGGCTTTCTCTAGTTGTGGCAAGCGGGGACCACTCTTCATCGCGGTGTGCGGGCCTCTCACTATTGCGGCCTCTCCTGCTGCGGAGCAGAGGCTCCAGACGCGCAGGCTCAGTAGTTGTGGCTCACGAGCCTAGCCGCTCCGCGGCACACAGAATCCTCCCAGACCAGGACTCGAACCTGTGTCCCGTGCATTAGCAGGCAGACTCTCAACCACTGCGCCACCAGGGAAGCCCTGAAGTACTTATCTTGAATGATAAACATTGGAAAGTTCATAGCAGAGTGGTGGGAATTCTTTAAATAGAAACTGACCATGAAATTAAAAATTATGAGAAAGAATTAATTAAATAATTACTTTGTCCTTATTCTACAAAATTTTTAAAGATGCTAAAAGATAAAAATAGAACTGTGGGTAAAGTTTTTAAAGTCTTACACATAATCTTCAGCTTCTTGGTGTCAGTAAGTGTTTTATGTATACAAGAGTGCATGAATGAAAAAGTATACACGTATTTAGAAGGAAAAATATTTTGAAAATGGATGAAAATACACCAAATGAGTTTAAGAGATCTAGTGAATGGTGGTATTGGGGGAACAGCTAAATCCTCCTGGATTTAGCAGGAGCGTGTGTTAGTAATTTAGTTGTAGGGATTTTTTAAAAAATCTAAATAATGAGTCCTAGCTATTTCTCACGTAGACACTTCTTTTTCTCTTATAGCCAAATATTAGAAACATGCAGTTGGTTTTTAATATTTATGAATTAAAAAGTCTAAATTCTTTGTAATTTCTGTTACTTCAGGATTTGCTTACCCTTTCGAAACCATAGGTAACTGATTCTTTTTTTACGTTTGTATTTCTTATTGTAGTAAAATACACATAAGATTTACCATTTTAACTATTTTAAAGTGTACAGTTCAGGCACATTAAGTACATTCACATTAATGTACAGCCATCACCATTCATCTCCAGAACTTTTTTCATCTTCCCAAAATGAAACTCTTCGCCCATTAAACACTAACTCCCCATTTTCTGTTCCTCCAGCCCCTGGCAACCACCATTCTACTTTCTGTCTGTGTGAATTTGACTTCTCTAGGTCCCTCATACATGTGAAATCATAGAGTACTTGTCCTATTATGACTGGCTTATTTCACTTAGCATAATATCTTCAAGATTAAATTTGATTTTTTAAAATTATAATTTGTGATGAGATTAAAAATGGAGATTACATTAGCTTTTAGTAGAGATTGGGAATCTTTGTGTATTTTCTTTGTAGAAGTTATTGTACAATGAAATAAATTAATGTTAATTTGATCTCCAGACAGAATATTATTAGAAACAATAGAATGTGCTACTGTATGTTGCGGTTTATAATTCTATTAAATTTAAGTTTTAAAATAATTTAAAAGTGGGACTGTTGAGCTAGTTTTAGAATAGATGATCTGGTGTTATAAAACCAGAAATCCTTTTAAATACTTCCATAGTTTTTAACTGACTAAAAGTGACAGGAGGGACTTCTCTGGTGGCACAGTGGATAAGACTCTGCACTCCCAATGCAGGGGGCCCGGGTTTGATTCCTGGTCGGGGAACTAGATCCCACATGCGTGGCCATGTGCTGCAACTAAGGAGCCGGCAAGCTGCAACTAAGGAGCCTGTGAGTCGCAACTAAGGAGCACGCCTGCTGCAATCAAGACCCAGCGCAACCAAATAAATAAAATAAAATAAATAAAAATAAATATTAAAAAAGTGGGCTTCCCTGGTGGCGCAGTGGTTGAGAGTCTGCCTGCCGATGCAGGGAACGAGGGTTCATGCCCTGGTCCGGGAGGATCCCACATGCCGCGGAGTGGCTGGGCCCGTGGGCCATGGCCGCTGAGCCTGCGCGTCTGGGGCCTGTGTGCTCCACAGTGGGAGAGGCCACAGCAGTGAGAGGCCCACGTACCGCAAAAAAAAGAAACCCAAAAAACAAAAACAAACAAACAAAAAAAGTGACAGGAATTATTTTTAGGTCATGTTTAGTGCCTGCAGTAAAGAAAAGGATATGGTGGAGTTTCTTTCCTTTAGCTGGTCCTTGAGTTCCCTGTCAGGATGGGTGTCAGCAGGCCTAAGGAGGCCTGCTGTAGCCTTACCACTTGTGCATATCAAGTGTTATCACAAAATTGGAGGAGCCACTTGAAAGAACCCATAGTAGGTTAGCATGAGGATAAATTCTTTGCTGAAAATAAACAGCAGTGGCTCAAGTTTCTGGAAAGTGCGTTGAAAGGCCAGATTTTGCAGAAGTATCCCAATAATGCCTTTTATGTGAAACTCTGGATTTAAGACAGACTCTTTCCCTCTTAGACGGTGTGAAAAACAACAAGTAAGATTTTTCTTCTTTCTTCTTCGTATGTCCAGGTTGGTAGCATTTTGAGGAGGAGAAAGGGAATCTGAAAGTTTTATCATTTGTGCTTCTGAACTGCCTCATTGCTGAAAAGAATTGGTAACCACCTACTTGGGGATGGAGGGTCTGCATTTCAAAGCTGTGATTAGTATAAAGAATCTTGAACATAGGACTTCAGTTATAAGTAATTTAAAAATATGTTTTCTAAGAACTACTCCGTGACATTAATTCCAACTCATGCATTGTTGCATATTTGTCAAGTACATTTACCACCTCAGATAGTAAGTAAGGCTAAAAATCCAGTGTTTATAAGTTTTATTATCCTGGTTTTTTGAGGTTACTATTTTTAGTGCTGAGAAAACTAATATCTGAGGAACTTCAATCCTTGAATAAGTTTTTATTTGGCAGTTTGTAACTGTGGGTAGGAGGGGTGCATGACTTAGTACAAAGTGCTTTGATGTTGCCATGTAGGAATTTTAAATTAAGATAAAAAACTTGATATAAGCATGAACAAAGAGAGAAGTCCCTGGGCAGAGAGAGGACCTGTGAGCGAGCTGTGCGTGAGCTCCCGGGGCCCCTGTGAGCAGGTAGTCTCCTCTGTGTCTCTGTGACACAGGGCCCTCGTCCTCGGCCACCTGTCAGTTTGCTCCTCGGGGCAGCGTGCACCACCTCCTAGTCTCCTGGCCGGGAAACAAGTCTAATAGACTTGGCGAAGCACCAGGAAGAAAGTGTATTCATTGTGAGAACCTTTTGTCACATGGATTATGTGTTGTTTTAGAATTTTCCCTACAGCTTCTCATTTTCTTTGGGATAATTGGGTTATCTGGAAATGGAAATCATTTAATAGTAGCCACTGCAAGACGAAGAGGAGGGCGTGTGGGGTGGGGGCCAGGTGATTATGCGGTAACTCATCGGAGATAGGCCACTACTAATTACAGCGTGTGGACCCTGCTGGGCGTCCAGAATTTCCATTCGGTGAATTTATCCTTCTTTTGTATATTACACAGTATGAGTAGAGATGTTTTATAGATGGGGCAAGCATTATTTCTTCAAAAAATGGTTCCTGAACTGAAATCTGTTTCAGAAGCAGAGGTCCTTAGTATTATGCTGTTTTCTTAATTGATCTAGAAAGTAATCACCGCTTCTGGTGATTACGAGAAGTAGCTTATCAGTTTATGAAGGCAGCTACACATGACTTAGCACAAATGTTAATTTTGTATCAAATCTGATGTTACCTTGTTTGGAATTTCATGTATTAGGTTTGGGGAGGCATTTGTGCATCCGTGGTTATGTTTAAATGTAGCATTAGTATTACTTTATGCCTCATTTTCTTTAATATATTATCAGGAGAAGAAGATTTATAATGGAAATCTTCGGAAAGCGTTAAGTTTGTATTTATAATAATGCAGGGTGATGCTTTACGTTATACTCAAAAGAACCAAATACAAAATTTTGTATGTAGTATTTATAAAGTGTATTTTTAAAATATGTACAGAAAGTTCCTGGAAAGGAGATATGCCCCACATGATTGGGTAGATGTAGTGGCATTGTACTGTGAGAGAATTTTTTTCTTTCTACTTTGCTGCTGTTTCCAGCTTTTTAAAACAATGAAACCATATTACTTTTATAGTGAGGAAACTGCCCATTATAAGGGAAAGTCCATAGCAATCACTTTGGTAATCTTTATTTGATGGTGTATATAAATCACCTGTGTGCAGTCAGAGTACATTTAGCTGGTGTGATATGCTTAATTTACCCCAAATGGAGTGCTTTCTTCCTATGACTTCTTTATGTGGGGGTGGGATGGGGAGGGACTGAAGACAAAGGGCACCTGTTACTAAGTTTCTGTGTGGCCTAACTCCTTTAGACATACTATTTGCTTTTGAGGTAATGGCTTACTGAAAAAGGAAAATAGGAGCAGAATCATGATATTCCAAAGATTGGTAATTTTTTATATTTAGATGACGTCATGGGGTTCTTATAGAAATAGAAAATTTTTGTAAGTAAATTATTTTTATTTCCTTTTAGAAAACTTTAAACACTGACCTTTAGAAAATATGATTTCTTTCTCTTTGTTTTCTGACCAGGACATGTATTCCTCTGAGAAACGTTGGACAGCAGATTTGGGTGTAGTGCCTGATCGGGACCACGTACAAAGACATCTCCAGTCATGGGTAAGTGCCCTTCCTCCTGTGTATCATTTCAGTCCTCTCAGGAGCATCTGCGGTGTTGTACTTAAAGAAAAAAGTTGTTACTGAGCAGATTGGAATTATGTCACTTCATCAGAGATTGGATAATCTGGTTCAGCCCAATACTGTGCACTTGCCTGTATTTAAACGAGGAGATTGATGTTTGATTTATTCTAAGAAGTTAGGTGTGGTGAGGATATCTGTGTCATTAGCTTCTTGGCTGGTTTAGTTCTACTATCTAAACTTTTCTGTTGACTAGCCATTGGAAAATGACTTTTTGGAAATATGAAGAGGGAAATATTGCAGTTGACCATAATTAGCAGAGGTTTTACTGTGTAAATTTAATCATTGGGTAACGTAGGTTAATATTATATTTAAGCAAAAAAAAGAAAGAAATCTCTTTATCAATGTCTTTGATGGATCAAGGAACCAAGTCTATCCTATAGACCTATCTTGATATAGATTTTATCTTCTCAGTTGTGAGGGGATGGTATATGTAATATTTTCTGTCATTCCTTTCCACTTCTGTTTGTGAACAGAACTGGATTTTACTATTTTGTGTTGTTTACTTTTAGAGAGTGAGGAAAGAATTAAGATTTAATCCTGACTGGGATCCTATGACAGTTCTGATGTACTTTTAGAGTACAGTTTTTTGATTATGGAAACTTTGGGATGAAGTGAGCATTTTCTTATTGGAATATAATATTAGAGAGTATAAAATTTTTCACATGTTATTTATATTGATTATATTTACATTAATAGGAATAGAGTCGCTTTTCTCATCAGTTTGAATAATCAGGCAGTTGATAAGTGAAAATAAAGCTGTTATTGTGAAATCTTTGAGTGCTTTCTACTAGAAGTAATATTGCAAGTAGTTGTCTTTGGTTTTGGAGACTTTTCAGTGGGTTACTTTTTCGCTGGTGTGCTTTGAATAAACAAGGATAGTTACCAGATGAGTTCAAATACAGATTCGGAAAGAAGCACCTTTGGTTATGTCAGCTCCATTCATATGAAGTTTTGTGAGAATGTTTACCTATCATAGAATGCCAACTCTAGTGAAGATGGTAATATGACTTCATAAACACTAAGAGCATTTTAGTTTAAAAAATGCTTACCTTTTTTGGAAATTTAACTAAATTTTGTTCTGCGTTGTAACCTTAGTGGTCTGGTAGATCACTGTTACAGCTGGCAAGTTCTTTGAGGACAAATACAGGGTGTCTTTGATTTTTGAATCTTGGTCTAAGATTTTTGAATCTTGGTCTAACACGACTGCCCCCTAAAACTCAGAGCCCTGTGAGCGTGAAAGCAGAGGGAGAGATGGCTTACTAGGCAGCCAAGATATGTATCGGAACCACCAACAATTTATCTATAAATTACAGTGGTTATACTTCATTTGCAAGATTTTTAATTTTTTTTTTATATCTACTAGTTCATTTCTCATTTCTGCTCGTTTGTATTTAACATTTTTTTGGTTCTTTTGTTATTTATCTCTTCGAAGATCTCTTACATGCTTATTTGAAAGTCCTTTTCAGATCATTTGATGATTTTTGTCTTGTCTGCAGTGAGTTTATGTGTGGTTGTTGATATTGTTGGTGTTTTCATCAGGTTCTGTAATTCTGCAGGCAAGTTCTGATGGGAGTTTCTTTTTTCTTTTTCCTGTGCGTGTGTGTGCGCGTGTGTGTGTCTCTCTGTCTCTTTGTGATTTTCCCTGCTGGTCTAGCAGATTTGCCGTTGTCTCTGCCTGGCTTTGGAGTTCCCAGATCAGAATCAGGTCTGTGTTAGTGGACCAGAGCCCCGGTCCCATGGTGACGTTGGGGATATCACAGATTCAGTCACTGAGGCAGCTGGCATTAGGTCAGCCGCTTCCTAAGCTGTAGCCTGAGTGCAGTTAGCAGAAGTCTTTTTCAGTCTAGTTTCCTATCAAGGAAGAGTGCCAGCCAGTCCCTGGTTTTGAGCAAAGAGCCTGGCTACTGACCCGTGGAGCCCTTGTTACACCACACGATCAACCCATAGTTAATCCCCGAGGATCAGCTGCCTGCTGCCTTTTCCTGCTTTGGGGCCCAGAGCTCAGCAGACCTCCTGGCTTTAGTGAGGCTCACACTTTGTGTTTCTGTTAGATTTCTGATCTGTGGAGATGTTTAACATGTTTGGGGGCATAGGTATGTCCTTTTGGTCATTTGTCTTCATATTTTATCTGTAATTTCTCTGTGTTTGTTGTGAAGAAAGGGAGCTGCAAAGCGTGAACAATGCCATTGGGCATTTAACCACTGGGATTACAGTGAAGTCCCAAATCCTTACTTCATATTTAAGATTTAAAAATAAATCAGTTTCTGCTTAGTTCCCTGGTTCCTAGAGTTCCTCCCCGTCGTCCATTACCACTTCACTCGCTAGGTGAGCCCTGTGGTGCTGTGCCTCCAGAGCATGCTGCTTGCCTCACTCTAGTAGCTGTCGTCCTCCAGTAAAATCAGCGGCCTGTTTACTCTGATCTTCGTCTATTCTGTAAACTCCTTGAGGGCAAAGACTTATTCCTAGTGGTAAGTTCCTGGCACTCAGTAGATGCTCAGTAAATAGTGCATGGATTTGACGGTTCCTAAGTGACATCCTTACTATGTGGTAACTGTAGCTGTGCCATGTGTTATTATTCTTAGGTTGAAATTCGAGCTGCTCCCATGAAAAGTGTGTGTGTAGGATAAAGCGTTCCAAGTAGGGGAGCACTGTGAGAAAGGCATGAAGGTTTGACCATACAAGGATGTTACTGAGTAGTTGAACATTCTGGAATATAGAGCTGGGGAGGAGATGAAATCAGGGTCCGGGGTCGTGTACATTTCTGGAGGTTTGGACTTCATATCTCAGGGCTTAGGACCTATTGAGGGACTTCAGTTAGGGGAACAACTTAAGATTTTATTCTGGAAAAATTACTCTGACAAAGAGACATTTTTGTTAGACGTAAATTAAAAAGATGGGTTACAGGCAGTATTTGCTTTGCCTAGTTTTGTTCTTAGTTTTCAGCCCTTTCCTTGCACCCTTTGAAATAAACTTTGAGTTTCTTTCTTGCCAACTTGATTTTCTGTAGTGATGGAAATCATTCTCGAGCAGAGAACTGGAACCATAGATTAGGGAGTGTTGTCATGGTCTGTGCCATGTTGCAGTTTCTATGGGGTTGTACGTTTTCATAAAGGTGGGAGGGAACTGAGTATATCAGAGTTCCTGTTTTTGTAAAAATTACTGGAGAAGCATGGTACAGGTTAAAAAATAGGAAGACATGTCATTAAAGATAGAATTTCCAAACCTAGATTTGGGTGAGATTGATAACTAAAATTTTTTTCAGTATTTCTCTAGAGATTACAAGAAAGGTTGGATACTTGTATGTCTGGATGCGTTTAGCTCTGCAGGATTTCCTAACCCTTTCCATGTCATGAACCATGTAGGAAATGGTAGTAGTTGTACAGCATGTGAGATAAACTAATGGAGATGTTTGGGGCTTGGAGGCTACCAGCTCTGACACCTCAGGCCGGGCCGAGGGATCAGTTTCTCTGCACATCCTGACACACGAATTGGGATGCTCCAACTGTAAGACCTAGAGAATTTGTTAGGTGCTTTAAGATGTTTTTCAGCTTTTAGTCTCAATTTTTATGTATTCTGTTAAGTTCTGAGGCCGAATATTGGTCTTGTGGAATATGTGTTATATGATGCTGCTATGCTGTGCATTTCATTGTGAATTGTTAACTTTATTACAATTTGCAAAAAGCCTTTTTCAGTACTTAAATTGGTCTTAATTTTCTGTAATGCATATTTAGCAATGTTTAGCATTTATCAGATTTGTTAAAGATTTTGTTTTATCAGATGGTGCCAAAGATGCAATAAAGTTATTATATATAAAGTCTGGCTGTCATTTAAAATGGATTTTTTAGATCTTTAATGGAGATTATAAAAGCAAGAGTAGTTTGTGTAAAGAGCAGTGCTTGGGAATTCCCTGGTGGCGCAGTGGTTGAGAATCTGCCTGCTAATGCAGGGGACACAGGTTCGAGCCCTGGTCTGAGAGGATCCCACATGCCGCGGAGCAGCTAGGCCCGTGAGCCACAACTACTGAGCCTGCGCCTCTGGAGCCTATGCTCCGCAACAAGAGAGGCTGCAATAGTGAGAGGCCTGCGCACCGCGATGAAGAGTGGCCCTCGCTTGCCACAGCTAGAGAAAGCCCTCGCACAGAAACGAAGACCCAACACAGCAAAAATAAATAAATAAATTACTAAACTCCTACCCCCTCCACCTGCCAATGCAGGGGACACGGGTTCCAGCCCTCGTCCGGGAAGATCCCACATGCTGCGGACCAACTAAGGCTGTGCACCACAACTACTGAAGCCCACATGCCTAGAACCTGTGCTCCTCAACAAGAGAAGCCACCGCAGTGAGAAGCCCACACGCCACAAGGAAGAGTAGCCCCCTATCGCCGCAACCGCGTGCAGCAACAAAGACCCAACATAGCCAAAAATAAATAAATAAACAAATTTATTAAAAATAGAGCAGTGCTTAACAATTTCTAGATGATTATTTTGATGGAATATGTTAAAAAAAAAAAGCCAAAAAAGCGCTAAAAACCAAAAGTGATAATTTAGGGTACTAATTATTTTTCTTTTCCCAAGTTTTAAGTTAAAAAAAATAAAGCTTATCTAATCTATTAAAATTTTTAATCCTTACTTCTGTATTTATTTCACTTTCTTTGGAAAAGTTTTGCTCTGTAAGTAATTATATGAAATGTTTCCTAAGAGAGTCTTTTTGGATGTTGACTAGGCAATCCAGGGGTGAATCTGTTGTGTGGGAGAGTTTGATCCTGCCCTTTGGCCTAAATAGTGGAGTGAGTTTTTTGAGGTTACTTCGGGATATGAAATATTTCTCTTTTATCTGAGGAAAAAGTAATGGCAGCGAATAATTTGGGATGTGGTGTATTTGTGGCTTTCTAATAAGAGTAGGAGTAAACATCATCATTC